TATTTTTTTTTTTTTAATTCTGCAGTTATTTGATCAAAAATACAGTAAAACAATATTGTGAAATATTATTACAATATAAAATAAAAATTTTCTATTTTATTTGTATTTTAAAATGTTACTTATTCCTGTGATGGCAAAGCTGAAATTTCAGCAGTCATTCCACTCTTCAGTGTCACATGTTCCTTCAGAAATCATCCTAAAATGCTGATTTGTTTATTATTAATGTTGTTATTATTATTGTGTAAACAGTGACATTTTCAGTATTTTTTGATGAATGGAAAGTTCAAAACAACAGCATTTATTTGAAATAGAAAATGTATGTAACATTGCAAAAGTCTTTACTGTCATTTTTTTTTATCAATTTAATGCGTCCTTGCTGAATAAAAGTATTAAATTCTAAAAAAAAAAAAAAAAAGTACTGACCTTTTTGAATGGTATATGCACACAACAAAAACATTAATCCAAAACATAAGTCCTCTGTGGCTCAGATATGACTCAGCAAAATGCTTTATGATGAGTAAAAGTGGAACAAATGTTTGCTGTCACTCCTGCAACGATCTTGCAATGAAATATTTTGTAAGTCGCTTTGGATAAAAGCGTCTGCTAAATGACTAAATGTAAATGTAAATATAACTCCTGGAACACTGTCTGGAGCCATTACAAATCTCTCTCTCTCTCTCATTCCTAAGTGTATAATGTTCATCTCATACACACTGGTCAATCTCCTGCAAACATGTTCACATCACATTTCAACCCAAAATCACTTAGTATAATAAAAAATGTGACACAATCCACTATGACATTTTCCCTCAAAATTCTCATTACTGTAACATAATTCCCCTTTATTCTCAATAGTGATTCTGATTACTGTAACACAGTAACTGTCTTATTTTAAAGAAAATAATGCACTTAATTGTCATTAAAATAGTGTCATAACTGACACTAAAAAAAATAATGGTCCTAAAAATAGGCTTCTACTTGAAAAAATATAATTTCTTATTTCTTTCTTTTGATTTTGGGGTGAAATGTGACTTGGACCTTGTTTAAAACAGGTTTTGTGAAATTCACCCACACACACACCAGAGCAGAACGCCTTTGCCAGCATTATTGGGATTTTTGGAATGAGACTCTATATAACTTTTTTCAGTTCAATAAACAAGCTCGCACCAGCAAGCACAAACACACACACACACACAGAAGTGCTTGAAAATAACACTTGTGTGTGAGTGCCAAAAGGAAAAGCTGGTAATGCTTGCCAATCATAAACAAATATTTATTTATCTGACATAAGCACATTAGAGGAAGTGTTTATCTGTCAGAACAAACTCAAGCCTAACAAACACTACTGGCACGTCTGTTACCATTACATGTTCAACTGTGACTTTTAGAGAATCTATTTTGAATAAATCACTGAAATTACAAGTGTACTATGTACAGTATATGTATAGCCTATATGTGTGTGTGCAGGTGTAAAACTCACCCCTGGTGCTTTCATCTTCAATAGGCTGTTTAAAGACAGTGATGTCCTTAAATGTACACAGGAACAAAACCACTTTGTCATTTTCATTTCGGATCGGTGCAATCTGCATGTAGAACCACACTGGAGTTCCTGTGCAAGGTGAGATGTCAAAGTCAGCATTATTATATCATAGTATAAATTGTATTTTATTGGATGACAATAAATTTATATGAGCACATATTTATGCCCAAGTCAAAAGAGCTCACATCCAAGGACCTATGATAATCCAGTTGCTAATTATGGCTTGGATTTTTTGGACTCAAATCAGGCAAAATGGCAAAGCTGAATTTTATACAGCCATTAGTCCAGTCTTCAGTGTCACATGATTCTTCAGAAATCATTTTAATATGCTGATTTGGTGCTCAAAAACATTTCTTATTATTATCAATGTTGACAACAGTCTTGTTTTTTGCAGAAACCATGACTTCGACTCGAAAGTTTGGGGTCAGAAAGCTTTTTTAATTTTACATTTTTTTTAAAAGAGAAGTAAAGACATTTATAATGTCACAAAAGTTTTCAATGCCGTTCTTTCGAACTTTCTATTCATCAGAGAATAACAGTTTCCACAAAAATATTAAGCAGCAAATCTTTTCAACATTGAAAATAATAACCATTATTAATAACCGAGCACCAAATCAGCATATTAAAATGATTTCTGATGGGTCACGTGACACTTAAGTAATGGCTAGTGAAAATTCAGCTTTGCCATCATATAACTAAATTACATATATTAAAACAGAAAATTGTTATTTTAAATTGCAACAATATTTCACAATATTACTGTTATTTTTAATCAAATAAATTGCAGACTTGGTCATAAGAGACTTCTTTCAAAAACATTCTAAAAAAATATTTTTTTGTTTGTTTGTTTTTTTAAATCAAAACTTTTTAAAAAATCCACTTTTTGACCCATGGTTTACATGGCAAAGTTTAATACATCAAGTCTCACTTACTGTTCTTTCTGTACAGCAGCACTTCAAAGCAGTTGGACTCATAGTTGTCAAAGGCCTGTCTCACCTTTTCTATGGTCTTCTTGACTGTCAGCTCCCCATACATAAAACTACAGAGAGAGATTATTCAGACAGACAGACAGTAATCTCCTGCTTTCAAAGCAAATCGTTCGGTTTAAGAAGAAAGTTTCGGTATGGTTTTTTAAGGAATTATCCCTCCCATCAATCCTTTGATTCAGATTTATAAAGATTCGAATGAATTCAGGAATTCATGCAAGCAAGTAAAATGATCAGAAGATGTTCAGGTTTCAGATTTCCACACTTTGCCAACAGACATGAATTATGGTCATATGTTATTACAATTTTATACAGCCATTAGTCCAGTCTTCAGTGTCACATGATTCTTCAGAAATCATTTTAATATGCTGATTTGGTGCTCAAAAACATTTCTTATTATTATCAATGTTGACAACAGTCTTGTTTTTTGCAGAAACCATGACTTCGACTCGAAAGTTTGGGGTCAGAAAGCTTTTTTAATTTTACATTTTTTTTAAAAGAGAAGTAAAGACATTTATAATGTCACAAAAGTTTTCAATGCCGTTCTTTCGAACTTTCTATTCATCAGAGAATAACAGTTTCCACAAAAATATTAAGCAGCAAATCTTTTCAACATTGAAAATAATAACCATTATTAATAACTGAGCACCAAATCAGCATATTAAAATGATTTCTGATGGGTCACGTGACACTTAAGTAATGGCTAGTGAAAATTCAGCTTTGCCATCATATAACTAAATTACATATATTAAAACAGAAAATTGTTATTTTAAATTGCAACAATATTTCACAATATTACTGTTATTTTTAATCAAATAAATTGCAGACTTGGTCATAAGAGACTTCTTTCAAAAACATTCTAAAAAAATATTTTTTTGTTTGTTTGTTTTTTTAAATCAAAACTTTTTAAAAAATCCACTTTTTGACCCATGGTTTACATGGCAAAGTTTAATACATCAAGTCTCACTTACTGTTCTTTCTGTACAGCAGCACTTCAAAGCAGTTGGACTCATAGTTGTCAAAGGCCTGTCTCACCTTTTCTATGGTCTTCTTGACTGTCAGCTCCCCATACATAAAACTACAGAGAGAGATTATTCAGACAGACAGACAGTAATCTCCTGCTTTCAAAGCAAATCGTTCGGTTTAAGAAGAAAGTTTCGGTATGGTTTTTTAAGGAATTATCCCTCCCATCAATCCTTTGATTCAGATTTATAAAGATTCGAATGAATTCAGGAATTCATGCAAGCAAGTAAAATGATCAGAAGATGTTCAGGTTTCAGATTTCCACACTTTGCCAACAGACATGAATTATGGTCATATGTTATTACAAAGATTAAAAGATTACAGAAAAATCTGAGATTCATAGGCAACTCACACCTGAAGCAAAGTGTGACCAATTATGGCATGTTTGTTTCTGTTGCAGTCATAGATAACGGCTTATTAATGACACAAAATTGTCAAGAAGAGATGCTGTAAAGTGTGATATGAAGTCTCTAAGCCTTGGAGGACAGTATATCTGTGGCTCAGCACTTTATGAGAGCCACTTATTGAAATTAGATTTTTATATATATATATAAATCACAGTATGCGATGCCATATCATGGCTTGGCCAAAAAGATACTTTCATCTATTAAAACTTGAATTCCAAATTCCTAATACCAAACTCGTTTACATCATTTCAAAAAAAGAATAATCAGTGATTTCAAGATTCGCTTTACATGTTACACTACTTTAGGCAGAGCCAAAGTGATGTAACACCTCAAGATTATGACATCGTCACCTCTTGGTTTTGTAGAAATGAGTCCACATGGATCCACAACAAATCATTTAAAGCTTCAGTCTTAAGCTGTTTTATTGTTTTATTTAACAGGCCCCTTAAGGTACTGCAAAGCCCGAGATCTCAATACAGCATGAACTGTGTAACATAGTCCTACAGATTTCTATTGTCACATGTATATCCACTCACCTGCACGTGCTGCTTTTCTGCATGACCTCTGCTCTGTGGTATCCAGACAGCTTGCAGAAGCCGTCATTACTATAAACTACAGGCCAGTCCACAATCTGAGCGTTCCCCAGCAAGAAACTTGTCTCTGAAGGTTCAGAGATGACAAAGAATAAAAGAGAGAGAGTGGGAATTAGTGATCTGACTGCCACACACTAATGCATTCCCAGTCTTTGCTACACAGTAAATTACTGTCACTGATCTACTTTAACATCTGGTGTACTTTCTATAAAGGGTAGACGTTCAAAAGCTCATCAAATTAAACTACAAAACGCTGTCATTCTTATTGCAGAATGTGAATGGGATGTTTTAAAACCTCTTATTAGATTCATATTCAAATCATTTTTTCACACTTTAACTATCATGTCTTATATAGCCTACTATAATCCTCAGAGCATTATTTAATGAAATATGCGCTAATTTGCATACATTTCTAGTACAAAAATGTAAACACTAAATGAAGTCAGTTTCAAAATTATTTTTGACATATTAGTCAAATGTGTTTACAGAGGGAATTTTGGGTATCTCATTTTTGTCACTCCATAATTCAGAAAACACTTAGAACAGACAGAAAACAATATATATTCACAATTTTGGGGGTACCAAAATGTAAAGTATGGTGTGTGTGTAAGTGCTACTGAAGTGGTGATTTATGGCTCAGTGTAGGAGAAAAAAACTCATTTTGAGAAAAACGCCTTTAAAAATATATTGTAATTGAAATCTATTGACACAAATAGATAAAGTGCTATAAAAGAAACACTTAACAGTGTCTTTTGGATGTTTTCTTACCACTAGTCCACTAGAAAAAACACTTTATGAAAAACCAAAAAGCCCAAAATCTCAATCTTGACAGGTGCATGAAAAAAAACAGCGGTTTTGCCTGCAGAAATGCGAAAGTAATTTGTACTAATACATACAAATAGCCTATGTACTGTGCCTTTAAGCTACCAAAATGCACCCTTTAGGGATAAAAAAAAGATACAAAGGTGTACCGTTTGAAAGGGTATCATCACAGTGACAGCTTTTTTGGAGAGTTTAAAGGGATCATATGAGGCAATTTCAATTTTTTCTTTCTCTTTGAAGTGTTACAAGCTCTTGGTGAATAAAGAAGATCTGTAAAGTTGCAAAGACTAAAGTCTCAAATCCAAAGAGATATTCTTTATAAAAGTTAAGAGTCAACCACGCCTACCTAAAACGGCTCGTTCTTTACAGTAATACCAGCTGGCACCCTACATTTGAATGAAAAGAATGTCATACTGCAAACATTTTAATGGTTCAAAAGCAGAGTTTATTTTCTTTATGCTAAATATAGATTCTATTTGTATAAAGAAAATTAAGTTTATTTTAGGACCATTACGATTTTTTGCATTTTTAATGGTTTTCGTGCCACTTACGCATATTAATTATATATTATATTAATATTAATTCAGTACTGGAATACTGGAAATCATGTTGTCCAGACAGATTGATTATATCAATGAAAAAAGTTATATTATGTATAATATATAAATAATGTAATAGAAATAGCAGTTAAAATAGCAGTTGAGGCCCTAAATTTGCTTCATTTTCATGAAAAACATGGCACAATTCATAAAATGTTATAGTCCAAATTAATGTTTTATTTTTTATCATGCTAAATATATTTTCTATTTTCCCCCACTGATTTCGGCGAGAAACATGGTCTGGATGTGTTATCGAGAGACTGTGACAAATTCACCAAGTTCATATCCTAATATACTGCACAGCAAAGAACAGAATGCACAGGAGAAGGTTCAAGAACTCGCCCATATACAGTCAGATATCAAAAGTTCTTCCTAATTAGAATCCGTTTGAACCTCACTAAAAATATCCTGTCGATAAGTCAGTAACTTCTGAATCTGAAAGCCCTAAGCAACTGTGACAGGGTCAGAGAACGAATGATAACTTCACAGACATGATAGATTTTCCTTTGTCGTTACACCATTAGCGGTCTCTGTAGCATTGCCAGACTTCCCTTAGAGGGCTGAATTACAGTAATGGCCTTTCCATTAAGTGAGCTAGATATATTAGTCAACATACCCATTTTACTTCTGTATTGTGACATACTTCAAAGAAAAATTGGATATTCAACGAAAAAATATGTAGGGTGGGACTTGATTTTATCCATCAGGATTTGATTAGAAAATGAAAAGTAGGCGTCCCATACCAGAATGGAACAAAACATGAATGTGAGTTTGCAGTGAGTTTGTGCAGGACTACCAACTTTTGAACCACATAGAGGCTAAAGATTAACACTGTATCATTTCTTTTTCAAATACATTGTTATTCACTTTTATATCCTTAACCTTTATTACCGTTATCTATGTTGCGGAACCAAACTACTATTCGAGCAGAACTAATAGTGTGAGTTTAGCACAAAACTACTGTTTCTGAATAATGGACGATGAGGGAGTGTTTGAAACTTGTTGGCATTAATTTTGCAGATCTGTTTGTTGCCACCAGTGGCACAGAAATTACATGCGTCATCATTAAATATTGCACGATATAAAAAAAAAAAAACTGCCGTAGCATTCGCTGTTGGTTAACATTAGCAATAACCCATGTGGCCCAGGCAATGTTCGCTGAAAAGGAGACATATAAGAGGAGGAGCAAATTCCATTTTGGTATATTTTAATGAAAAAAAAAAGAATTTAACTGCAGGAGTGTAGAAAAGCTGCATTATTTACAACAGTAGCATTCGCTGTTGGTACAACCTATAACCCATGCGGCCCAAGTCTGTCAGCTGAACAGGAGACAATTAACAGGTGGAGCAAGCTCCATCTGGGTACATTTTGATGAAAAATTAATTACAAATTGAAATACTGCACAATAAAAAATTTACATTATTTACAATAGTAGCATTCACCATTGGATAAACTAATAACCCATTCGACCCAGGCAACGTTAGCTGAAAAGGAAACATTTAAGAAGAGAAGCAAGTTCCATCTTAGTACACGGTGATAAAAAAAATTTATAATAATAACACAGCTTGAATTCAATTTGGATTTTCAAAACAATAACAGTTCCAA